TATCTTGTTGTTTAATAACTTCTATTGTACTGTAGGCATGCGCCCCTCGTTACACGGAGAAGAGAGACATCGGGAAAAATTGGCTTTCAAGTATAATGAAAGAACCGAACCTTCGGTATTTCCTGGCCGGTGGATGTCATATACTGCAAAGCAACCTTAGTAAAATCCAACACCAGAGTTTTCTAAAACCTTGCGCAGGTACACACGTGGTTTATTATGCTATATATGGAACAGATTCCGTCAACTACTAAAATAAGCAACCCATATTTTGTTGATTTTTTTATGTGTTTGCTGGCGTAGCTTCTATGACCAGCCTTTTTATTTCACTTTCACTTGTTCACTGTTTTTCTTAGGGGTTCCCCCTTTTATAGTCGTTCGTTCGTTCGTTCGTTCGTTCGTCCGTCCGTCCGTCCGTCCGTCTTATATCCATCAGGAGAAATTTTATATATACCATGTGACCCCTTGGTCTAATGACAGCGCGTGAACATTTATCGTTGGGCATAACATGAAATATCTCATGTTTGACTTCAATAACATTTAAAAATATAAAGGTTTATTGTATTTATTTTAATTGTTCTACTGCAGACTCCTCGTTATTTCGTGCATATTGTCAAGCTGGCTTCAGTGTAGATATGACTCAGAATGCTATAGTTATGGGAAAAGTTGGATGGAGTTTTTATGATGATGGTTCATCMCAATGGTTAGGGGCAGGTAAACCTAATTATTATCTGTATTTTATATGTATATATATTGTATGTTTTTAACGGATGTGGAAATCACAGCATTTGATTGGTTCAACGGCACTCACCGAGATTTATTTACCAGATAAAAGCTGATATATTACTGGTAAAGTGTTTCAAAGTTTTCTATTACGATAGTGAAGAAAAGTAGGTCAAGTTGTAGTATTATCTTGAAGCAAATAATTTCAGTTCTGAAAAAATTATTATTTTTTGACGGGATCGAGTTTGTCAACATTCTATTGGTCTCCACGTCAGTCACTGAAATTTATTCATCCAGCATTATTAATTTTGAATATTAATTAATTTTGAATATTGTTCGTTCTTGTCAAAGTGTTTCAAAAATGTTACTGCATACAGCAATTTTCATAAACATGCGAACTCTGTGTCTACAAGCTGCACATTTTTTCTATGTAAATAAGTAATTTATACAAATATTAAATTCAGTGTGCGACAAAAATATAAACCGTCGGGGGAAAAAACCGAAAAGCCTATCTTGTTTTCAGGTGGCCTTGAGAAATACTCTCTAGTGACAGACAAGTTCACATCTTCACCAGAAACCCAACACGAAAAGTTTTCATACTCTTACATGGGTTAGTAAATATTAATTCTTGAAACTCTATAGATGAATAATATTTTTTCTGTAGTGCTTGTACAACAAACAGGGTTTTTAGGGTTATGATAAACAAATGAGGGTCTTGAAGTAGTCCAGCCAATGTTTTGCTCAAATCTCAATCCAATTCCCCATTTTTTAATGTATTTTTGTTGTTGTTGTGAATCTTATTCCCAGTGCATAAAACCCCATTTCCCAGCCCCATTTTCCAGCCCCATTTAACCCGTTCAGGACTSTCATAAATGCATGAAAAAGCCCATGCATGATAGAAAAGTTGCAAAAAGGCTAAGAAATACCTTAAAGCTCAAAACTTTTATTCTTATTAGCATAGATAGATTTTAAATAATCGAATCTTGTTTATGTTACAGGTTATGATGTGGCCAGCGGTCATTTTAGCCACCCTAATAAATCTGGTATGTTGTTAATCATTAGACATTTCGGGGTTGAGGAAAAACCTGGGTCGAGTTGGCATTGCAGTGCATTGTGGGGCTGTTTAAGGAAATAGTAGCCGCCATCTTGAAAAATTTGTTCCCTAAAACAGCCTTACAATGCACTGCAATCAAAAGTCGACCCATTTCTTCCAAAGCTCGGAACGGCTWATATAATCTTTATAACCCTCACATTTTTCTTTGCATGTCTGCTCTTTTTTCCTACAGMATTTAAATACTAAATGCTGTTCTAATACTAATTTTTTGGCTTAATTTTGTAATCAAGACTGCGCAATCCGGAATCCTATGCTAGAATCTGGAATGCACCGATTAAAGGAATCCGGAACCCGGAATGAGTTAGAACCGGAAATAGGAATGAGCAAGCTTTCGGCGATATTACATTAGAAAGGCTTACATAATATTAGGTTTTCTCTAGATTTGTATGGTGATTATTGCTGAATATTGACATAATGCTGTATTTTTGAGTCTAGGCATAGCTGGAGGTGCACCAAAAGGACAGAATACCAAGGGCAAAGTAAGTGCTTTTTACAGGGATACCTTTGTTTCTGATTTTCATAGTCAATTAACTATGTGATTTCTAAGCGACAAAATATAGAACATAAGAAATAGTGCCCAGCGCCCGGTTGTACGAAGCCTGGATAGCGCTATCCGGCGAATAAATCCTTATCCAGTGGATATAAAGTTCATGCTGTTATCCAATAGATTTATCCACTGGATAAGATTTATCCGTTGGATAGCGCTATCCAGGCTTCGTACAATCGGGCCCAGAAGTCTTCAGAACGCTACCCAAAAGACCTTTGCGGGCTTCTGCTATGGTTCCTGTCTTCAGTCCTATCTCCTCAGCTTAATAGATTTCAATTTAACGTGTTTGTCTTTCCTAGGCACACGAATTAACGACTCTCTTCCTCAGATACTCTCAAAGGGCGATCACCACTATATTTAGAACTACGAATTCCACCAATCACAGTGCGAATTCCATTCCACTMATTACAGTTACGGCACACCGCATCTGTGAAATCTACTCTATGCCAGTTTTTCGATTTATGTAATTTTAAAACCTGTATCTCTTTAATAAAGGTTTTAATCTATGATGACATAGAAGAAAATGAAACGATGGTWTTCAAGTCAAATCTAGAGTTGCCTGTTTCGGCCAAAAACCAGGTAAGCAATGAATGCAGTTTATAACWAAAATTTAATAGTCTCCTTCRCAGTTCCCTGCGCCATCTTGAAAGGTAGCCGTSCCTTTGCATCGTAGCGAGACGAACGGTGAGCTTGCAGTGYTAGAGACCTTTTTTAACACCTTGAACAWTTATTCACACGTCTCTATCWTTGCAAGAGAATTAAGCTATGCAGGTGTTATTAASCGTTATTAATTGTTATCATATTTCATCTGTCAGACAGGAACTTATTTTGGCAGTACGATAGGTGCTGTGGACCTTAATAATGACGGGTATGGTCTCATTTCTTTTTCATGCCTTTCATTTATCCCATATCCGATTCATCCATTAAAATTAATTTTTTTAAAGGCACAAGGTTAAAAAATTAGTCCAAAAAAGGGGATAATCGATGTATTAATTTCTACGATTTGACTTTTAATTGCGAAGCAATTTGAGGACAAAATTTACGTTTTCTTTCCAGGGCCCGCGGTTGTACGAAGGTTGGAAGTGCTATCTCACGGATAAATCTTATCTAGTGGATAAATTTATTGCATAACAGCATCGACGTATCCACTGGATAAGGATTTATCCCTTGCGTTGGATAGCGCTATCCAGCTTTTGTACAACCGGGCCCAGAGGTGCATGGTCGGTCCCATTCCTCCCTGAGTGAAAACTTAAAGATTTCCTTGTTGGTTGGTTTCATCATATCATTGAACAGCAGCCCTAAAGAAGAAATGATACTCTATAGGATACGATACGTGGTCTATAATGGTGAAACATTACGCCCAAGGTAAAGAGGTCTATTCAATTAATTCATGTTTGCATGTATTTCAATAGATTGACAGATCTGCTGGTTGGTGCACCTCTGTTTACAGACACCAAGGACGAAGGGCGCGTCTATGYTTATCTTAATAAAAAGGTAAATAACGAACGAATACCAATCATATAAACCAATAGATCTCTGGCACACCATGCGCGTACCAACATCAATAACATTACGTGTCAGGTGGGTTTGGCGGGAGGTCGCGCAGGCTTGACATTTCACACGCAAGGCGCAACTACAAGATGGTTTAGCGGTTAATATTGTCTAATTATGTAAAATAAAAAGTAAAATAATATTTTATTTATTTATRCACGGTAGGCTTTAAAGCTAGAAGCTTGTGGGGCTGCGTATCCTCCATACACACTCCTTACTACATTCGAATATTCTATACACYATACTCAACTCTCAACACACAACATCCTAACATCCTAGATCGAAATTAACTGCTATGTTAAACAAGTTAGTAATGTACCAATAGAGAGAACACCATATTCTATGCACCTTTAATTCTACGTTACTCCAACGCCACCAAGTTGGTGTATTCAACTAAAGACTTCTAATAGTTCCCTTTTTTTACCATCATCATGGCCGCCATTCTTGACTTTCTTGTAAATGCTTGCAAGCCAGCAATATATCATTGTGTTTAATAAATATAAGTATGACATTCATATATAGGGCATACTGACACATATGCCAAGCATGGTACTCCAAGGGGACAACATGGAAGGAGCCAGRTTTGGCACAGCAATTACAAACGTTGGCGATCTGAATAGAGATGGTTACCAAGGTATGTACATACGCACGCCTTGAAATATATGACGAAGGGTTCTAGCCAATTATAGCAAAGCATTTTGTCATGAGGCACACACACACACACACACACATACACAAACAGTTGTCAAATATCTCAGGAATATACTTTTTGTTTGCGCAATGTGGCAGCCATGTTTGCTAGGCTCCAGAACGTCGCTGCGTAATAGACCTCTTGAAGCACGTCGGAATGCGGTTCAATTTGGAGGACGTAATCTTATGAGATTGAAATTCTTTTGTTTTGTCTTCCAAATTGAACTGCTTTGACGTCATATGCAAGGTTTCTATATGATAAGTTTTACTACAAAATGCGCGTGCCCATTTTTTGGCCTTGTCCTAACATGACGAAATGTGATTGGTGTATTTTAATAGACGTGGTTATAGGAGCACCCTACGAGGGACGAAATAGCAGTGGTGCTGTCTACGTGTACTACGGCTCTAAGAATGGAATCGAAGCAAAATATAGACAGGTATAGTACTTCATAAGTGCGCTAAGAACGTCAATGGCTAAAACGAAAAAAATTATGGAGTGGTTTTTCGAGTGGTAAACGATACGGCAAATTGAAGCCGTACCGTATCATACTGTAACCGTAACTACGCGTTGTGATTGGATGAATTACTTGTACATAATGGAAAGCCATTTCAATGTTACAGTTCTGTATGTTTTCCAATCATAGGAAAATTGTTCTAATAAAAGTTGGCCAGAATTAGAAAAACTAGGTTTTCATTTGAAAAATAGTTGCAAATTTGATTCCTTTTTATTTATTCGAGTTACAGAACCACTTTTCACTTGTCTATGCTAAAACCATRTCAAAATAGTAAGATATAGAATAATGTGAAAATGTTTGCAATTGTCTTTAGAAAATCACAGCGTCAATGATCAACAGCAAGTTAAAAGGGTTTGGCTACTCGATATCTGGAGCTGTAGATGTCGATATGAATGCCTATCCAGGTATTTGTGTTTCTTGTGTAGGTTATCTGACAAGTATATCCAAATGATTCGCTCACTATTTCTTTGGTTCTTTATCAGATATTGCAGTTGGTTCCTATTGGTCTGACCATGCTGTTCTTCTAAAGTAAGAGAAAATTGCTGAAGATATTATGTTTTATCWTGTCGAAATTTTGAAGGAGATTTATTACGCGAGTAAGAAACTGGTATTCTGATGTATGGCATTCAAGCAATCTGATTGGTTGATGGCGCATTTTCAACCTTTATCGATATTATGAAACTACCTCTGGCTTATCAAAGGCAGGGCGCGGCTAACTCACAAATCGAACTGGAATTTAGCTTGTTAGGTTTTTTCGGAGGGAGGAAAACTGGAGAACTCGAACAAAAACTCTGGAATCAAGGGAGAGACCTAAATATCTACTCACATGTGATGCCAAGTCCAGGAATCGAACCTAAGACCCCAGAGAGATAATTGCACGACCGTTACTGTTTTGTTTATTTGATTGATTCGAACTGAAGCCATTTGAGAAAAATAGATATATCATCAGTATCTGCATACTCCTTCCTCTCCTCCTTAAAAATATGGATACATCGCCTTAAATCAATATTTTTCTTGGCRATCCAGGACTCGAAGAATTGTGGAAGTAGAAACGAAAATAAGGCTAAGTCGAACAACGATCGTCCTCGAAAATRACGAATTCATGTGCGATGATGAACAAGCATCAACAAGGAACAAATGGTAAACGAGGGACCCCTCATTCTCATATTATACATATTATAGAATGATTATGTTTGACTATTATATATATATATAGATGCTAGCTATTTCATTAAAAAAAATACATTTCGTATTTGCGACTACCGCCAGATCTGTCCTATTTAGCTTGTTTTATCACAGGTAGCCCAAGCTTGGTTTCTGTGGTGTCCTGTGGTTTTATTATCAGTAATATCCTTTTCTTTACGGATAACACTTATGTGTGCGTATTAATACGAAGGCAATTCTAATAAATAATCTAAAAGATTGTATTTCTTTCTTGTTTTAGTTTGAATGTTACRATCTGCTTTCAATTCAAAGACAGGGAAACCTCGAACAGACAAGGTAAGGAATGCGCATGCGCTCAATGTTTGAAAATTACACAGGTATCCCGAATGATGCATTTGAAATAYCCTGTCTTCTATTTATCTCTTTAGATTTAAAGATCGCTTACACTCTAGAGGCTGATGCCGACATAATTACGATTCAGACAAGACGGATGTATTTTTATCATGGGGGAAAACCAAGCTTTATTATCAGTGGTGAATTCACGATACCAAATCAAGGACGAATGTACTGTTTAACACCGTATACTGTACATATCAGTGTAAGTCTTGTTCTAATACCTATTATCCACCCATCCATCCATCCGTCCATCCATCCATCCATCCATCCATCCATCCATCCATCCATTATCATATTGTGTAGTTTACACACACATATGCCAAATACCCCTGTAATGATTGTAATGATTTACCTTTATCTACAGCACAAATACCAGTTCCTTGACCTTCTAAAGTCTCTGACCTTTGATCTGACCTTTTCTCTGGCGGACAAATCCTGTTCATTGGATCCAGACGTTCCATGCCCTGTACTGGACGCCTACCGACCTACCACAATCAGAAATGATGAAGTAAGCAAACACGACTTTACATCACAACATTAACTAACGATACACAGTTTTAATGTAGGGAAGAATTACAGAGACGTTGACCCAGCCAAAAGATGTGTTCCCACGGCGCAACAGCTGTTACGTACAACATTGCTGACAATAGATTTCGAGGAATGTCAAGCGTAAATGTTTCCTGCGACTAAACTATGACAAATAAAGCGAGCTAGCTAGCTAGCTAAACAACGCAATATTGTGGCCAGTGGTGCACTAAATACTGTTGATACTGATCGCATTTTCATTGGCTGGGAAGACTGGGTTTTCAAAGGAGGAAATTTGTTGTGCACAACGTTGCAGAAGTGCATCTTGCTGGTAACATTGCGCACCAACGTTATATAGGTGATRGCGCACTGTAACTATAACAATCGTGTTGCTGCGCGCCATTTTTGCGCGCCATTTTGCGCGCCACCGCTGTTTGTGGTTTTGTTTCAAGCGTTGAGAAAAGTCTATGATTGATTTCTCCTGAGGTAGATCAACATGAGCATGCATGCATGCGGTCATTCTGGTGCAGTTGTATTGCATGCATGCGCTCCGCTGTTTCAAAATCGATGGAGCCTTCATTATACATTGCCTTTCCTGTTGCTCTCTACTTGGGAGACTTRATTCCAATTAACTTGAAATGTGATTCTATCGTATCTTTAGCTGACGATTCAAAAGCAGTGCAAAGGACTAGTATGTCAACCAGACCTTTCCGTCACTGGCCATGTCAACCTTCCCGGGTGCGTACTGATCTATTTATGCACAAAATTCTTCAAACTTAGGTGTGCTTATTTGATTCCTTACACACGTGAACCTATTACCTTAACCTTGATTTCCACCTTAGCTTTTACTTGTTTTACCGTATATTTCAAAACCTGCATTTCCTTGTRTTGTACRTCGCTTTGTCGTRTTTCTATTTTCTATTTTCTATCCTWTACTGCATTCGTTTTGTTTTGGCATCACTTTAACCCGCCTTAGATTTCTTCATTTTTTGCCAAAGCATGTATGGTTGTATTTTGTAAGTCGTATAGTCTCAGTTAGGTTTGTTTATAGTCTATGTCAGTGTGTGTTTGCTATTTATCTTCCAGTTCATTAAACGTAGTTCTAACATTTCTGTGGGTTTCCTGCAGCATCRCCGTATAATTCTCATATTCATTTGAGTTTTTTTGCAGTTCGTCTTTAAATATAATTCTATAATTGATGCGAACAAAATATACTAAGCTGCGCGCCGTATGCGAACTGTGTTATGGGATTATCAACTTGTAGTTCTGTGTAAACTTCATAGTGAACATTCATCTAAATCAATTTAGAGCTATGACTTAGTATAGATGATTGTTACACAAGCTCATACTTACGAGTAACGATAAAAAGAGGAGCTTGGYAGATGAAGAACCGTCATGAAGAAAGGAAAAACAGAGTTATTATTTCTGTATAACGTCATTTCTCGTGCGTATGTGCCAGTAATTAACACCTCTAGAGAGGGAATGAGCATTACTCACTCGGCAGTCATGCTTTTTCTTATGAGAATGAAAACCTTTGTTTAGCCCACATAAGTTTATTCTCGCGCACTTTATTGAATCCAAGGACACGCATGTTCCAGTCAACATGGCTGCCGCGTGAGTAAGGCCCATGGGAATGATGGGGATTTTAATGTAATAAGATATAACAACAACCGAGCAGGAGACTGTGGAAGAGTCTGAAAGAACCTACTCATTACTTTAGGGACTCAATAGTTTTAAGGGGGAAATAACAGATATAAAAATGTGTACATTGGTGTTTTTAAATTGCGTGTTAATAATCTTGCGTACGAATCATTTGCGTACGAATTTTTTCACTGAGTTGTATTTGAAATGAGAAATCTCGATGATCTGTTTTGTTTTCTTTGTATCCCGGACATAGTGACTTGTATTCGTGCGCATGGCAGAATGTTTTTAAGCAGGGACCAAAATAGTTCTAACACGGGTTTAAACTATATAACGATATTCGAAATACTAAGATTGTCCAACTAAACGTCATTTTTTAATTGGTAGTAATTAGAGATGTTTTTTTGGTTGCTTTTTTATGAAAATTTAAAATTAGGTTTTTCCCCTTGCACACAGTGACTTGAATAGGTGCGCGCTGCAGGGATTGATTGTGAATGGAGTTTCTTTTTATGGAACTGCATTTCAGTGCTACCCCGTTAATAATAGAGTGAAAAGCCATTTCAGTGCAGTTAGCCAGGTTAGTAATAGAGTAGAAAGCCATTTCAGTGCTACGATGTTAGTACGTTTAGAGCCGGGAACAGAGTGGAAAGCCATTTCAGTGCAATTAGCCAGGTTAGTAATACAGTGAAAAGCCATTTCGGTGATACGACGTTTGTAATAGGGTGAAAAGCCATTTCAGTGCAATTAGCCAGGTTAGTAATACCGTGGAAAGCCATTTCACTGCTACGACGTTAGTAATAGGGTGGAAAGCCATTTTAGTGCTACGATGTTAGTAATGCAGTTGCAAGCCATTTTAGTGCTACGGAGTTAGTAATACAGTGGAAAGCCATTTCAGCGCTACGACGCTATTAGTAATAGTCAAAAGCCATTTCAGTGCTTTTAACCAGCTTAGCGGTAATACAGTGGAAAGCCATATCAGTTCTACGAATAACTATTGACTTTTATTATACACTTAAACATTGTAATACTTGACGTAGTTTCTTCTGATGGATAACGTTGATGCACAAGAATTTATGGGTAAAATTTCTTTTCCTATGTTCACACTGACTTTTTTTCATTTCATATTCTGATTTTTTTCTTTTCTCTCTCTCTTTCTTATTCTCACGATTTTCTTTCTTTTTTCTTTTTTATGTTTCTTTTCCCTTGTCCCTGTATTTTAAACGTGGATAATTGAAAATCTCTCAATCTCTATACAAAATGAAATTTTTTCTAACTTCCCTTTTATTCATTTCATTTTCTATATTTCATTTTTCCCTTCCTCTAGCGGATACAAAGTGCTTCGTGTCGGCAGYAGTGGTATCCTATCTATAGTACTAGATATCCAGAATACTGCACAAGATGCTTCGTATCAAACAACAGTTATACTTTCATTTCCTGATGATCTGAACTACATTGGACCTACAGAATCAAAAGTAAGTGAGCGCCAATAAGATAAACTGGGCTTTCTTTCGGCATCCTGTGGGCCGTTTACTTGAAGCGCGCAAAGGCTCATCGGGAAAAATGAAGTCATATGATTTTCAGTGGTTGTCAATGGTTCTTGAACTTGAAACTTTCAGACGAAAAAATTTTACTTGTATAACGATATCTAAGGTTGCTATAATAATTAGCAAATAAAGGTATACAATCCCTCATTTCTTTAGCTATTTATTTATATTATTGTTTTTTTTAGCGAAGAACTTATGCTTAATAAAAATTTTCTTTTTTTGCAGACAGTTCTGTGCAGTTCCAGCTATGTCAATGAAACATCCACGGCTGTTTGTTATATTGGYAATCCATTCAAGGCTAATGCTGAGGTATTCACTCATTATTAATCAATATATTCGCTTTAAGAAGCACTGGAATGTTATGGTGGACAAAGATTTGATTGGGAAGTCGACATTTTAAGACTTCCTTTTGAAGGCGCGATCGCGGACAAGAGTGATGTTGTTTCAGCCAATCATAATGCGAGAAAGTCTGCTCATCCAATGAGGAGGCTTGTAACTTGATTTTTTGACCCAAGATTAAGGTGATAGAGGAAATACTGAAACTGAAGATGCCATATATCATTTGTTTTAACCCTTTCAACTTCACTTCAACTTGCTCATCCTCCTCATTCATGCATCCCCCTTTAATTGCACACCCACCCACCCATCCATGATGATCGGCCCATGGCACGAGAAGTGGAGCACCTATAAACATATTTGTGATGAATTATTAAGAAATCCATTTTATTTATTTATTTTCTTTTGGCAGAAATCCTTGACTATTGAGTTTTCAGCTGAAGRAGTTAAAACCAACTTTAACATAACAGTTGTTGTTGAAAGGTAAGACTTYTGATCAAAAGAGTATCATTTCTTTGTTTATGGTTGTGCATACAACTCAAACAAGGAAATATCTTATTCTCAGGAGAATGACATGTGGTCTGGAAATGGAAAACGAATGCTCAAGCTAAAAAGGTCAATGACATAAAACTTTTGAGGAGTGAATCCAGGAATCTGTGGGGGGGAGGGGGTGTCCCAAATAAAGAAATGTGTATGCATCATTTAATGTTTCCAACACTTCAAAAAACCCAAAAGTAATTACGGCATTGGGGGGTGGGGTGGGGGTTGTCTGGTGCACTGACGGACACCCACTGGATTTGCCCCTGCTTTTACACGCAGTTTCAAGTACTATTCCAAGATCAACTGAAAATCTTAGTATTCAATCTCAGTTTTACTGATTATTTTACTTATTTCATTTGATATTGTCTATAGCAAAAGTAATGACACAAATCTGCAGAACAACAAGATTGTTTTACCAGTATTTGCCAAGTATCTCACTGATTTACAGATAACTGGGTAAGTACTGAACCAAATAACTCCTCCCCATCCCATTATAATTGGTTCCCTCTACATTATATTATTATTATCTTAATAATTGTTTCAGTATAATTTTTAATTTCATTCTCAGAGAAAATATATAATTCTGGATTTAAAAAAAAAACTATAAATTACTTCCACTTTGGTGATTTTACCTCTGCTGATGAGCTGGTGAATATTGTCTCATAATCACTGGCTGYTTGACCAATCACAGCATGCAAAACTCTACATTCAATTCTAAAATTATACTTATTTCCATATTCTTCTTTTTTTTTTCTTTTTTTTCTTTTTTCCCTCTATTACTGAAAATACTGCTCTGTTTAATATTTATTGCACACAGTGTCAGCCAACCTAATGAGGTCATATACCATGGAAAAGCACTAGATAAAGAGACAATCAAAAGACAGTCTGACATTGGGCCATTAATACACCAAACAATACTAGTAAGTATAGAACTAGCCTACATGTTGCTGTCTGTACCTGTAGAGTGTATGCCATATATTCGTGAAAAGCTTTGCAAGGAATTGCACAAATTAGTAAGTTCAGTAGACCTCAGTCAGTAGACTAGCTGTAGACCTACAAAACTTTGCGACTAATTTGTACAATTTTGTTAGTTAATTTCTTGGTGTAGCAAGCTTTATTGTATCCTGTGATAGAGTTTTTTTTTTAGTGTGATATTGTTAAGCTCCAAAGTCATTATCCTTGGCTATTGTTTCATTGTCTTCATTCCTCAGGTGCCTTGCTTGCACATAGCTTTTGTGCACTCAGTTCCCTTCAGAGTGATCTGATCTGTCTCTTTAGGGAGGCAGGGATTAAAACCAGAGAACCTGGTACAAATTCCATAGTGGAGAACAACACTATTTTGAGAATCAARGGTGTTGTAGCGGYAGTCCACTCACCTCTCGCCTCTGGATTCTCAGGATTGATTCCTCTACTCAGCATTTCA